GACTAGCCGTGGTAACACTACACTTTTTGCTTAATATGGCACTGGCGCTGGATTGCATATTTGATGCTTCACTCTGTTTACTACTCGCATCATCACTGTCCAACAGATCCACAGATTCGATGCGTTGACAACGATTCAATATATTGTCCATATCAGAATCGGGCGTAGAATTCGTCGAATGACTAGACGAATCGCTAGCAGCAGCTCTTATTTCGCGCAGCTTTCTTGCTGTTAACGATTGTGTGCTTCCTTTTATCTTTTTAGCACTGTTTTTGGCTGGCGTTTGAGTCGCCAAAAGTTTTTTTGTTTTTCTCGCCGTTAAAGTCAGCATTTTCTCTTTGGTTTTACTAACCTCTGGTAACGGCACAATAGCACGCCTTGGCGTATGTTTGTTTAGACTCTCGTCACCGTCGTATATTTTGAAAGCAGCAGTTGGCAACTTTTTCCCCCTTTTAGCTGCTGCTGGCACCTCCTTTGCCAACACCGTCACGTCTTCCAAATCGGGTGACACATTAAATGCCAGCGCGCGCCGCAAGCCACCATGACTCTTATTACTCTCTTTCTGCATGGACATCTCTTTCTTTGTAGCGCGCAATTGTAAGAGAAAATTAATATGATAAACGGTATCAACATTTCCTTTTACGCTAGTGTAGCGCAACAGACCCGCTTGTAGGCAACTTAAAGCCTTTTCGTATTTCTTATGCGTACGCAGATAGTTGACATAGTGTTGTAAGTTCAGCAGTTGTATATTCTGGAAATTGATACGTAGGAAATTGTTCTGCTGCTGCGTTTCTAACCATTGCTGACTAGTTTCATAGAAATTTTCCAGTTTGTCATGATTATCGACAAGAAAATAGAGTCTGGCATTCAAGCAACCAACCATAAAGCAACACCATTGTAGAATCTCATATTGTTGCAACGTATCGTTGCAAGCTATTTGGAGAAAGCGTGTAAGACTATTTTCTCGCTGTATTGATGGGCTAAGTTGCATTTTGAACTAAGTTTTGGGAAGAATATGAAAAGGAGATGTTAACTACAGTTTTATATGAAAAGTTGTATAGAAAAGAGTAGATCAGCCTATTAGCATACCAATTTTGTGGGCGATGCATGTAACGGTATCATTTTGCGCAGCGGCTCCATGCCCGAATGCAGTAACTCCAATGTGTTGTAAGCGTTTGGCACCGCCAGTTTCTTTTCAACGGCGCGTGCTTCACCCAATTGCCGCAAATCTTCCATACTTTTTTCACCCAATATGTATTCAATCAATTTTACTTTGATCTGTGCATAAAAAAATCAATTAAAAGCAAGAAAACATTAATTAACCCGGATTTTATCCGGCCAAAGGTCAGGATTTAATAAAAATAAATAAAAGATTTAATTTTTTGTTTTGCTCACCTGCGCCTTTTGCACATATTCCATTTGTAAATTAATCCATGCCCACATGGCTAGCATTTGTATTATGCGCAATGCTGAACCGGATTGCAGGAGCAGCTTAAAGGTGCCAGCGAAATATGAATTCACAAAATGATCGCATAAACGATTGGCGGCACACTCGGCCACCTGTTCTATCAGGCTCAATAGTAAAATCGTGTATGACATTAATTCACTGTTCGAGAGTTTGAAGAAATCACCGCGAAAGCGTTCCAACGTGTCCTCCATTTCACGTACCAGGCAACGCTGTGAGAGTTGAGTTTCCCGCCGTTCACTATCCAAATGCTTCCATAAAATACGAAATTTGACAATATCGACTGTGCCGAGCACCACATTATATTTGCCCTGCTGATTGGGTAACTCTGCGTGCACCTCATGAACATACTGCAACAGCACTTGTGCATAGTTGAGATGACCAATGCGTGCGTAATAGTGTGCCATTTGGCACAGGCACATAAGCACATGGTTTTGCTGGCGTTTAATAAGCGTCGGCAACTGTTGTAAGGCCTTTAATAAGAAATTTTGCTTGTGTGCCACTTCTACAGCCAAGTCTATGCTATTTTGTGAATTTAGAAAATATTCACTGTTTTCACAGAAATAGGCGAGACTACGTAAGGAATTGTATTCATCGTTAATTAAATTTGTCACGTGATAGTGTAGAATCCAAGCTTCCGTAGCGACATCCAAATAGCCGGCCAATTGCAAATACAACGCAAGTGAGGTTAAGTCTTCTACGATGGACTCCCAATCGATGAACACATCATTGCTGAGTATCGGTTCAGCGTCAGCCTGCAAAGAACAATGGTTTTTTTTTGTTTATATTTTTAAATGGAATAAATGTTTATACCTTTTCGTAGAATTCGCGAAACGCTTGCAGAGCCGTTTCAGCTTGCTTTACATATTTGACTTCATGTGTCACGGTTAGCGTAGACAATTCTTTGCGCTGCCACAAATCCTCTATGTTGTCCTCTTGGAATTTTATTTCCACTACCAACGAGTCTTTACGAACTTTCAATGCATCATGAAGCAGCGCTGTATTTATATGCGCCCAGCAGAGTTGTTCCAAACGTGTCAAACCCGCGGTTTTCTCTATCTTCTGCTCAAATTCTTTCCGTATTTGTTGCAAACGTGTAGCTACTGCGGCCGTTAGAGGACCAGCACCACACGCCACCAATACCTCACCATACATTGAAGGACTGCAGCGCATTAACGTCATTTGAAGTTGGGCACAACTCTTATGGTACTTGAAAAACTGTTGAGTTTCTAACCAATGTAATAGGTGCTTCTGTGGTGTGTCCAGAAAAACCTTAAATGGATTGTGACTTTCCATAGCTATTTGCAGGATGCACTGTCCAGGCGTAACATGTGGCGAGGCCGTGTGAAAGTGTCCAATGCGGGTACGCAAAGTAGTAACGTCAGGCCAGATATTTTCCTGCAGCATGGAAGCAATATGTGCTACATGTAGATCTAATATTATATTTGTTTCATTTGATTCCAATGTCATTTTGTATAAACGGCGCAATAGCAGTGTCCAATCTTTAATGGAGAATTTATGACGTATGCGTAAGAGAAATTCAGCTAATGTTATACAAAGACGTTTTTGTGCTGGCGTGCGCATATCCAACGTCAGTTGTATAACGCATGTGTAGAGTAATTTCAATTCTGTCGAATCAGGCGTTATACAGGCGAGAGAATCAAGCACACCGATTCCATGGCGCATTAAAGTCAGCAATTGCGTACGTAAGCTGACAAAAAGATCTTCACTTTCCGCTGCTGAGTCATCCACAGCCAAGGCATAGGATGAAAAGGCAGCTAATGAACTAATAACGAAAGAAATTATTGTATGTTTTCTAGCGCTGGTGCAGCAATCAAATTTTAATAATTTGGTTTCAGTAATACGTGGCGCTAAACGTATACAACCTAATATTAATTCGTAATGCGATATATAACATTCAATAGTGGTCATGTGTTGCCAAAAAAATGAGAATGGTGTGGTGGGGTGTTGCTGTATATGCGTCAAAAGTACCGCTACTATAACCGGCACATCTGTAAACCAACGCTCTTGCATTAACATCTCCCCATAGCGTTCAAAGAAATTGGTCAGCTTTTGACTTAGATCTTTATATATGTCCTTAAACTCGCCTGGATTCGGTAAACCATAAACTAGTTTCACCAGATAATAGAGTAGTGAAAATACATAATTGGAACTTTTGTCAGTAGCAAACACTGACATTTCGCGACAGGCACGCAAATGTCGCAAAGCCAGTTGCTGCTGCAATCTATCCGGCACATCTAACTGAAAGAAAACAGTTAGCGCTTCTAAATGTCGTTGACAATGTGCTTGTAATTCTTCCTTCGACGGTTGTGTTGTACGTATTTCCTTAAGTAATGTGAAGAAAGCATCATACATATGTGTTTTATTTGCAGGTAGTGTAGCTAGATAGTTAAAGACTGTAGAAACACGCTTTGGCACCAGATATTGTATGAAATCCGCTATTAACTCCGGATATGTAAAATTTTCTCTTTTGTTACATTGCAGCATACGCTTAAATAATTCTTTTAGCGCCTCTATAATGTTAGCTATATGTTCCTGAGCAAGTGGGGCATTTACGCGTACATGATTGTGTTGACAAAGTAAGTGTTGCAAGTACATGCCCAATATAACTTTATAATCGCCTTCACTCTGCAGATAACTAGTGTAACTTGCAACTAGGTCACATATTCTTTTAGCCTCAGTAAAGTTTTTCTGTTCGTAAAAATTTTACATTAAATAGTTTATTTATATAATAGAATTTTACATTCGTTTCACCTTATCTGCAATCAAATGATGTAAATATCTAACATGTTCCAGGTACATTGTCCAATATTTAGCGCTCATTGATGGTTGAATATGCTTCCCCACTACATGAACCAATGTATCACAGTAGACATCATAGTGTTTGCCTTCCGTCTTCGCAGCAATAGTACAAATGGCACGCAATACTGATAATGCTAATTGCAATTCACGTCTATTGGAATCCTTATTGCCATTCCCTTTTAATGTTTGAAGTTGTTGTTGAACCCTCTGCATTGCGTTGATGGCCATTTCTCGTGTGCCTCCAAAAGCCGCTTCATAATCGGCCGACATTTTCTCTTCAATTTATTTAAACTTACATATGCGCGTCAATAATATATTTTCATGTCATATAAGACTATTTTTACTACCCGATCAGTCGTTCTATGATTTTAAATTAAAAGTCAATTATTTGCCTTTTGGCGCTTTTGCAGTACAGCCAACGTTTTTAAAATAACTTAAGTGGTGCCAAGTTGCAAAGTAGTGTTGCCAATTAAAACGTTGCAGTGAGCGCAGAAATACCTCAATAAAGGTAAAATTTATTTGTAAATAACTTTTTCTTTAATTATATGACATTTTTTATTTATTGCAACTCATTGAAAGCAAGATAATAATTAAATTACAATATAAAATCGCTAAAAACATTATTTGATAAGTGTTCCAAAACTTGGCTGACATGTTGAAGTGTTAATACATTCGTAATTGTTTTACCAGTCTGGCTACTACACACCAGCTGGCAATTGTTTGTATTTTGCTTCGCTGTTTTGTTTTAACAAAAATATTAGCATTTTTCTTTGGCAATCAACAACAAGTATATTGCCAATTGCTTCAGTACGAAATCGTTTGCCACACCGTCAATAATTTAAACTTTTGTTTATCGCGTAACGCGAGTGAATTAATGTAGTGTTTATATTATTTGCATATATGTGTGTGTGTGTGTATGTGGACAAAATAAAAATACGTGGTTTCCGATTGTACAATGTTTGAAAACATTTTATTATCTTATCTACATTTTCAGTTTTTGTACATTTAAGGTATATCAAGTTGATATTCAATGTTTAAATTAAAATGCTTGATTAATATATGAACATACGCAATATATTTAAGTACCTATTTATATTTTTTTATAGACGGAGGGCGGAAGCAAAATTTGTTTAGTTTACACAAAGTTAATTGCTATTGTGCCAACAAGTGCATTTATTGTCGAATTGGAGAAAGTTTTCATTAACGGTTTGCAGTTGAAATCATACACATTCGAGGTATACAACGTAACGCCCACCCACATTATTGTAAAACAGCTGAGTTACGAACTATTTGCCGTTAGAAGAACGCATGCCGCTGGCGCTACTTTCTTTAGCCCTTGAACTAATAACCTTGCAAGTAATAACCTGATAACGGCATTTCTTGTTTGATACAATTTTATTGCAACATGTTGGCTTATTCGGGGCACATTATGACGCTAGCCAATAGTATCATTGGCGTGGGAATACTGGCCATGCCATTTTGTTTCCAAAAGGTGAGCAAATCTACTGTTTTGCTATACATATGTATGTACATATGTATGTATATGGATGTGACTAAATTATGTAGATATTACTTGTTCATGAATCATACAAAATAACCGAATTTTTAATAGGTTTTAGCAAACGTATGAGAGATGTAAAGAGTATATTTAAATTGCTTTATTAAAATCATACGATTTGTACTAGCGCGCTAAAACTGTTATAGGAAATATTTTGAAAATTTTAAAAGATTCGGATTTTGAAATAACGTTCGTGCTTATTTCAAGTGTATTGAAAAAAATACTTATACACATATTCTATGATTAGTTAATACACCTTTTGTCAATGTTTTAAAATCTCACATATCTCGTGAAAAGTTGAAAAACCATGCATTTTTTAATGACTCAAATTTTAATTAACTTTAGCAAATTGAAAATGTTTATATTTTGTGTTAGTTAGTAAAAAATAATAATAAAGTAGTAGTTTTGTTTACAGTGTGTTTTTTTAAGGTTACACACAAATAATAATCTGATAACATACACATATGTGACCTGGTCTACGGAAAGGGGGCTTAGGTGTCAAAAAATCAATTTTCACTTTTTAGTTGATTCGGATGGAAGTTGAGATGCTTTTTTTTTAACAGCTGTTTCCCAGAAAACTAGTTTTCGCACGTTAGCTCCCTTTTCGTAGACCAGGTCACATATGAGTAAATATATTATATAATATATATTAGCAGACATGAAATTTGTTTTTATGCACGTACATACATATATCGATATAATACGTGTGCATATGTACAAATATTTATATTTACCGGTATTAAATTAGATTAGATTGATAGATGAGGAATGGACCGCGTATATTGCGCCCTCTCCTAAATCACATAGACTCACTTAGCTCCAGCGCATTGATGAAGTCCAATATACTACCGGGTGCTAGTGAGGCGATGCGATCGCTATCCGCTCAGCAGGTGGTCCGGTGTTCTCAGGCTCCCTGTCGGAGAACCGGCAGTTAGCGTAAGAGGATAGGCCCATGTTATACAATTGCCTATTCAGCTTTCAGTGGCCAGTATACAGCTTATAATCCAATGAAGAATGTGTTTTTTCCGGAAATGTTACTTGAAAATAATTTGTGTTTAGCAAAATATATTTTCTATGCACATACGACAATATCCATACCTATACATAGACATTTCGAGTTTTAATTGAGTAAATATGTACCTTGTGTGAACTACATTTGTTTCATTTATTTTTATATTATTTAATGTGCTAAACGTTTTGTTATGTTCGCACCTCCATAACTAGTTGCAATTGCAACTACATACCTTTATACATATATAGAAACATGATGTTACTATTTACATTTCAAAGCATAACATAAATATATTTCCATTTTTTTAGTGCGGCATTGTGCTCTCTGTTCTCTTGCTCATCATCAGCAATTGGATAACTCGCATATCTTGCCATTATCTAATAAAGTCCTCACTGTTGACACGTCGCAGAAGTTTCGAGTTTTTGGGTAAAGTAAAGAATTGACAAGCAATCACTACACTATCGTTTATAAATTACATTCAAACAATTTTGAACTTTAGCTTTTCCTCAATTTTCACCGCTACAGGCTTTCATGCATTCGGCTCATCGGGCAAACTGCTTGCGGAGTTATGCATTATCGGTTATCTTTTCGGCACCTCAATCACATACTTCGTGGTGATGGGTGATTTAGGACCGCAAATCATTACAAAAATGTTTTCACTTAACACCGCGGATTTTCCACATCTACGCACGTGGGTGATGATAGCTGTAACCGTGTTCTGTATATTGCCCTTGGCTATGTTGAAGAATGTTGATAGCCTTTCAACAGTATGTGCTGCATCGATTGGATTTTACGTCTGTTTGGTTATGAAGATTGTACTGGAATCCGAGGCACATATTGTAACGCACGATTGGGTGGATAAAGTAGAGTATTGGCGACCTGCAGGTATTTTGCAATGCTTACCGATCTTCAGTATGGCGCTGTCATGTCAAATGTAAGTGAAAATATTTATTAATTTATTATTTTATATTTTTCGCACACTGAACATACAAAAACTTTTATAATTTTTTTTTCGCTAAAAATTAACAAAAATTTGATAATTTTCATTACTGTCATTATCTTTTTTTTGAGCATCGGAAAATCATTATATTTTATTTTTGCCAAAAATCAACAAAAATCGGTGCTTTTACTGTACAAATACCTCAACCACTCATTAAATATTTTTGTTTAAAAAATTCACCATAACCTGCAAAACTCCCAAAGACTTATCATTTTGTCACAAAAATTTATTAAACATCTATGCGCCATCCATTGTTCATTCCTTCCGTTTCCTCGCTTAAAAACCCTCATTTCGCACGCGTCATTAGTTAATGAGTTAAGCTTACGTTATCTAAATGCAAGCACTAATTAACCTTAAAAAATATTACAAAAAAATGAAAACACTGCCTTTATCAGGCAACTTTTTGAAGTGTTCGAGAGCATCAATAACCAAAGCGTGGAAAAGTTGAATGGAATTGTACGTAACGCCACTTGGATTTGCACTTTTGTGTATATTGCCGTCGGATTCTTTGGTTACGTCGCCTTTTGTACTCAAACCTTTTCGGGTAAGCAATAAAATGTCCTATTATTTTGCGAAAAATGACTGAAAATATCTTCTAGGCAATATTTTGATGAACTTTTCACCCTCCTTCGGCAGTGATGTAATAAAAGTTGGATTTGTGCTTTCGGTTGCATTCAGTTTTCCGCTCGTCATATTCCCCTGCCGTGCCAGTATTTACTCGCTACTCTATCGCAAGGTTTATTCTACTATAGATTTACAACTTTTCGTACATATCTATTCACTTGTCTATATAATTTTAGGGCCACACTGATAACAGTGGTTATATACCAGAGACTCGCTTCAAAGTCATAACCACCTGTCTGGTGGGTTGTGCACTCTGTATTGCGCTCATGATACCGTCCGTGGAGCTAGTTATCGGTTTGGTAGGCTCCACAATTGGCGTAGCCATTTGCATAATGTTTCCGGCATTTTGTTTTCGGAAAATCGTGAAAAAAGACTCGACAGAGCGTTCTTTGGCGCAGTTTATATTCATTAGCGGTTTTTGTCTCATGATTTTGGGCACATTTGCCAATTTGAATGCCATCGATGAACAGCGTTCGGGTGCGCATTTACACGTAGTCAACGAATTGGAAAATACGAATTTATTACGACCAACTGAGAAAATACTCTTAGACTCAGCATTGAGAGTGGAGAAAACACTTGTTGATTTGAAGTTAAAAGATAACAATTTAGAGCCGGAGGCAAAGAAAAAGTCTGAATATTTGTTGAGTGCCACACCTGTGCAAACGATATCGCAGCCAGCGGCAGTTGTTATTGATAAAAACGCAGAATTATCGAAAGCAAATGTGAAAGCTGAAAAAGCAGAGAATACATTGAATGCAAAGCCACTTAAACCGGAGGCGCCACTTATAGTTGAGGCGTTAAAGCCAAAAGATGAAGCTGCGGAACTAGGCGAAATTATAAAGCAACCAGTTGCGGAAGAAGCGCCGTCGGAACTTAAGCCGCTGCAGCAGAATCCGCTACCACATGAAGCGGTAGCGGCGCAACAACCAAATATAGAAACACTACCGAAGCAAGAAGAGCAAAATGCGCCGGAAAATCAGCAACCGCAGACAATAGATAAAGATGCTATCAAGAAGGATGAGGAAATTGCCGCTGAAGAGTTGAAAAATGGACAAAAGTTGGCGAAAAGCAACAATGATGTGGAACTCAAAGAAACGCGCAAAGAACTGAAAAAGACCAAAGAACTGTTGGAACGCACTGTGGATCAGTTGAAGCATGAACTGGCCAAACAGAATGAGGAAACGCAGAATATGGTAGCTGAGACGTTGGAGAAGGTGGTGCAAAAGGTAGAACAAATCGAAAAGAAGGTGCAGCATAATGCGCCTGCCGAAGCACAAGCACCAGCGCCAGCGCCTGAGCCAGTGCCGGCGAATAAAGAAGCCAGTGACTCGGCGCCGCAGCAAGCGGCTGTTAATGCACCGCAAGAACGCATAGTAGAGCCTAAACTAGAGAGCGAGCCAGCTAAAATGCCAAACGTGCCAAATCGTCTGGACGATAGACCGCCGCTGCTGAGCATACTTTCGGAGCAGCAGGCAGATGTGCGCGAACCGCAACGTGTTTATGAACCGCTATCTTATAAAACCGGCGAAGTTTTTGAGCAGGCGAAAAATGGCAGTCAGTTGGAGACGCGTTTGCCGCTACCTTTAGCCGTTTTATTCAATGCCTCGTCGTTGAAAACCAACAACAAGTCAAATAATATACAAACACGGGACGTGGGCGACAAATATACATTAAACGCCACACAACAAACCGCCGATAATGCCAACGCCACCAGTAATCTTAAGACTGATAATGCAACACAAGTAAAAGCTAGTGAAGCAGCTTCCGCGGGTGCTGCTCAAACATCCAGTGACAAGGAGAAGGAAAATGTGGAGGCGATACGCCGCGAAATACTGCAATTAAAGTCCGAGCAATTAAAGGAATTTCCAACGTTTGGTGTAACGGACACTGACATCGACATAATAGCGGCCAATGCGGAGCACATAAGGCGCAAGCGTGCGAATACGCCCAACTTTGCGGAGATCGAAACGAAAATGCAAAGCAAGAATTGTTTAACAACACCCAAGGTTAACCAAATGCTGGCGCAGAGTGGCATTAGCAATGCGATAAATTTGAAATCACAAACTTTTGGACGCGAGTTGCGCTCCGTAAGAGAGGAAAATGAGGCGCAGCTTTAAATAAAGTGTGTTTTTGCTGCGCTGAAAGCTCAAGTATTAACCACTTTGTTGATTTTTCTATTTAATGTATTTAGAGTTTATTGCATTTACTTAGAGATTTTTGCATAAAATGTAAGCTGTTTTGTATTTCGCATTTACTCAGCATATACATAAGACCGTGTGTATATGTGAACGTACCAAAAGCATTATCTGCCAGTATCATTCCTACCGATCGCTGCGTGTTTCACGTAGCCACCCATATACTAAGTCGTTACTTATAAACTGTCGACACAGCTATCTACCTATTCCTAAATGTATATACTATATATAGTGCGTATGTGTGTCTATGCATGTTGACAAGACTAAATACAATAAATATTTATTTATTTAAACTTTCCTGAAATTTATTTACACATCTATAATTTCTAGAATCTAATATCTGAACTGGCTTTAAGTTAGCATATTTTAATATAAAGTATTTATTCGAGTAATGAGACGAGTTCATTAAACTATGGCCCACAATTTTGGAGATATCGATCGAAAAATTTTGCATACATCTTTTAGGTCCAAAAAAAGTGCTAATTTATCTGAACCGCCGATATCGGACCACTGTAGTATAGCTGCTATTCAAGTTGATCGATTAAAATCAAGTCTTTGTATGCAAAGCTTTTTTATTTAGCAAGATATCTTGCTGATATTTTGGGAGATACTTATTTTCAATGCAACGCTGTAATCTTGGGACATAAGTTCGGATCAAACCATTTATCATTTTCTTGTCATGAAAATTGACCGACGAAAATCAAGATAAAGAAATGTGTATACCCTTTACGCTATAAAAAATGTAACTGTGAAGGGTATTATAATTTCAGTGTAAAGAAAGTTAACGTTTTCGGTTTCTATTTTTCTTTTAATTTTTAATTTATTTTTTTCTTTGTAATTTTTCCTTTTTTTGATTAGTTATTTATTTTTAATTTTTTATTTTTTGTTCTTTTTTATATAGTTTTTTTTTAATTTTTAAATTTTTTTAAATTTTTTTATACGTTTTTTATAATTTTTTTTTAATTTTTAAAATTCATATTTTTCTTTTAATTTTTAATGCAGCATAATTTTTCTCTTTAATTAATTAATTTATTACTTTTTGTTTATTTTTATGTTTTATGTTTTGTTTTTTGTATTTTTTATTATTTTCTGTTTTTTTATTGTTTTAAAATTTTTTTAATTATTTTCTTTTAATTATGTATTTTTTAAATATTTAATGTGAATTGTGCTTCAAGTTCGTTTAAAATTAAAAGTACATATAATATACATATATACATACAGATGTATCCTGAGTTCTGTGAAGCGCTATTTGTTTTACTAGACTACATATATATGTAGGTTAGGTTAGATGGAAAACTCGCTTTCGTACCAAAAAATTCACACACATCTCATTCCATTCTTTATAGAATAAACCTACTAATCGTTGTTGTTGTTAAAGCGTGAAAAAATATTTCCGAAATATCTGTGAGGAGAGCTGATCGGTTCACAATCCTTGACCAAATACAAATACGTTCTTTTTCGGTTACCGTTGTACCTACATAACGGCTCTTCGACTTTTCCCATTCTGTGGAGATACTTTGTGAAACTTTGTTGCCATGTTGTCATAGTATCTTTCTTTATTTGTTTTTTTGTGCTGGTGTTTTTATCGTTGAGAGGTGATCCTCGCTGCCCTTCCTGTGGCGCGCCTAAGAGTATCCGTATCCTTATTTCGAGGGGTATGTGTTTATTTGTTGGCAGTAGTAGCTTGTTTTTTTTTTGTCTGAGTCGAGCCATGCTTGCGTTCGTATCATAACCTGATTAAGCTTTCTTCGCGTTTCTTGCTGTAATTACTGCTGCAATGTCGTCCGCGTAGCCAATTACATATATAAGTACGATTGGTCAGGCATTTCGAATTTTAATATAGCGTAGTCGATGTTCCACAAGTCTGGGTCTAAATAGATCTTTAAGCTGCTTCGTGACCGCTATCTGTCATGATCGCTCTTTACTTTGATACAGCAGTTTTCTGTTGCTAAGGTCCATCATATCCACCCATTCAGCGCTGTTGAAGGCGTTTCGGATATCTAAAGTCGCCAGCAAACACTAGTCTTTTGTATTTATGCCATCTATGCTATGCGGCTTGTACACTTTCAATGACGTATTTTATAGCTCCTAGTGTTGATCTGTCGGGTCTAAAGCTGTATTGTCCTCCAGCTTCGTTGATATCCGCTTCGAATCTGGGCTTAAGTAGCCTTGCATGGGAAGCATGCATCTAGACGATATGCTTATGGTAAGCTGGGATCTTTTCAAGGGTGCAGGGAATATTCCGGCTTTGAGGCAGGCGTTGTTCAGTAGTAAAGCCGGTGACTCGGCAGCGATTGTTTTCACGATTTCAGCTGGGATCCCCTAGTGCCTGTTGCCATTGTTGTTTTATATTTACTTTATTTATAACTTAATCAGTTTTAAATACAGGGTTTGTCCGGAAAGTAATAAGAATGATTTTCTTCCGCACCGACTGGTTTCGGTGGGGGGCGTTCCTAGCTACGTGGAAGTCCTCAAAAGACTCAAACGAATGGTTAATCGGGTCCGACAAGACATTGCAGTTGATTGGAAGTTGTAATACGACAAGACCCCGTCTCACACCGCCTTTCTTGTGAACAGCTACCTATCCAATGTCGGCATCCCAATGCTCCCTTAGCCGCCCTACAGCCCAGATGTAGCCCCTGGACTTTTTTTTTCCTTGCCTGAAAAGGTCGATGCAATGCAAGCATTTTGAGACGACAGAGGCGATCCAAGCAGCATGCTCCTCGGCTCTCAAGTTTATTCCGAATTCCGATTGCCTTCCGTGACGCCTTCAATGTTAGGAAATCTCACTGGCAGCACTGCATGGACGTAGAAAAAGCCTATTTTGAATGTTTTTAAAGTGTTGTAATGATTGGTTCAATACATTTTTTTTAATCGACTCAGTGCTATTACTTTCCTACAAACTCTGTATAAGAAAGATGTTTTCAACATACCCTCAAAATATGTGCCATGCTAGTTTATTTGCATTTAAAAGTAGTAGAGAAAGGTACAATATTACAACACCTTAACCATTTCCAATACTGCAAAGCTTTTAAAATTTTTAAAGCAAAGCGAAACAAATCAAGGGTGCCAAAAAATAAAAAAAAAAACATGTCATCTACATTTGAAATCGAAAAAGAAAAACCGCAAAATTTAATTTTAGTTAAGAATTTTTTAAAATTTCTTACATTGCAATTTCTACATTTGTGGCAAAAAATGTTTCCCACCAAAGTAAGTAACCGTTAAAAGCGCCGGATTGCCTTGAAATCTTTACAACAAAACAAAACGCGACAAATTGTTTTAATTTTTTTACAGTTATTTAGTAACGACTCTTTGCCAAGCCTGCAAGGTTCGCTCTTCTCACTCAATTCTGTCTATTCGGTAAGTGAATTCTATTCCATAAAGCGTGCCATCATACTCATTGTTTCGTATTTTCGCAGAATACCTTTGGTCCGACTGGCACACGAATGGAACTGTATCCACGACGACGTCACACCGAGTTCTACTATGATCCCCAACCGATGGAGGAGTATCAGAGTCGCGCCTGTGAGCATCCGCAAGACAAATTACAACACAAAGCACGCGGCTCGAAATTTGAGTTGCAACCCATTAACGAGGAGTCGCCGAAGTTGCGTATCAATCCGCCGAAGAACTCGGATATGCGCATGTTTCGCAACAGTTACTTCTCGTAAGCTGCCTGTACGAACGACGAGTGGAGTGAAGTGTTGTCCATGTGTTGTGGGGAGTTGAGTGCGCCCTCAGGGCGTCGCGACTAAGCGCGCTTTTTTTATGTGCAACCTTTGAAGTGCTTTGAAAAATAAAACACAAACAATTTTTAAACTAACAAGATTTTCGTAATATATTTAAGTGTGTGTGTGTGTGTTGTTAGTAATTTCTTTTCATATTTTTATACGCATTTGAAATGCATTCAATTACCAGCGATTAGTTCGTTGAGTTAGTGAGCTCACAATACTTAGCATCAACTAACCGTCTTAAGATATACAAAAAATATTGTATGTATGTATGTATGTATGTTTTTTAAAATAATCAATCAACAGCATAATGGTACACTTCTCTAGTATCTGGTTGTATATAAAATGTATTACAACAACAATAATCTAACGAACGCACGAAGTAAACAACAATGAAAGTGTGATCTTAAGGATCTGTTTTAAGTAATTTTTTTCTTATTTGTATTTTGATCAATTTTGTGTACTTTCTCGGATTCTCTTTTTTTTTCTCTTTCTTACGCTGCATAGGCGCTTTGGATGTCTCAAGCTAAAGTTTGCGCGCTTCAAACATCGCCGCCAATGGCGTGCAAATCATGCAGAACCTAGAAAAAAATTCGAAAAATTTCATATTTCAAACACATTTTTTAAAAACCGTTACAATTTTACCTCTAATACGGTGGCCACACTCCAAGCCTGCGTACGACAGGAATCATGACAATAGGCACCGTTATCGTTGGTCAGTTCGGGCAGTCCACGCCAATGGGAGGTGTGTAGCTCCTTTAAGTGAGCGCGCAAAATTGACCTTGAGGGGGGAATGAAGATATATTTTATAAATTTTGTATATGTATATATGGAGTTCACCAATACAAAAAGATTTAAATGAGAAACTTGGGAGAAGTCGTTTTAAATTCTAATAGTCGGCATGTGCGATCCATGTTCAATTCATGCCACATTTACCTGCTTGTTGAACATGTCGCAGATTTTTTCCACTGTGACTCAGTAAATTCCCTCTTTTCTGGAGTTTAATTACAGAGTGGTGCCTATTCAGGCTAGACACTGCAGTGGTCTTGTAGAATTTTGACCTTAAAAAAGGTTCATGATAGTCAAAAAAATCAGTGCTGGAAAAATATGTCTATCAGAAGCAGATTGCTCTTAGCAAGACAATAAATCTGTCACTATTTTATCACTATTTTTGATTTCGTTGACCTTAGACCGTAAATATTCAAAATAAAGAGGTATAAAAGAGAGTTGTGGTTTCCAGTCAAAGGCTATCTCAGATCAGATCGAAATAGCTTTTGATATTCGCGATGGTCACAACTTTCTCTCACTCAAACTAACCATGTGTCTGCAATAGTCGCTTCAAGATAACCGCACTTTTTGGCGAATATGAGGCGAGCGCGTAAATAGAAGCCAATAGGCCAAAGCCATTCAGGTCCCTGATGATAGTTAAAACCATGCGCCACCGTGCAGTCATCGGCGTCATTTGAGTTGTCATAGTTTGGACGATAATTCCAATCGTCGGGATCCAGTGTCTTCATGCCCAATGGACCGAGCAGATGTTTGCGCGCCTGCTCTAAAGCAGCCCAAGCTTTTTGCGG